ACTCTTTCCACCCTGCTTAGCCGGGGAAAAGAAGGACAGGAAGTAGTTTGGGTGAAGAAGGACTTCCTTTTATCCGTTCTAACCCAACTGCTCAGCAATTTCATGGCGTGCCCACGAGTTCTTGTATTGTGAGAAAGGGAGAAAAGGACTTCCCTCTCTACCTGCTCTATCCCAGGCATAATCTTATGGTTGAGGTTTATAAGATTATGCATAAGATTATTCGGGAGAAACGGAAATTTTCGGAAAACTTGAAAAAAATGCTACATTAGCACTTTTTTTTTCTTTTCCAAATTGAAATTCATTCTGTTACTTTAGGAACATAAAATATGACTATGGACATTTTTACTTGGCATGAAATGTTCACAACTAGCATATTAAAAAATATAGTGTATCCAAACAGTTATTACAAGCAGAATACCCACCCACATGCAAAAACAAAACTGAAACCTTTTTCTTTTCTTGTGACAACAACACCTCCTAAAGGAAGAACTGCATTTTGTTCTTGCATTGGAGAGTTCAGTTTGTAACCTAGGACTTGCTTGTCCTCAGTGCACAGAAATTAGATCAATCTGATACCATACCTACTTTTTAGAAATGATTTGGAAAATATTTGAACACCTTGTCTTAAAATATTTTATTCATCATGTTAAAATAAAACGTTCCATACTCAGTTCTTTTCTTTTCTTTTCTCAATTTTTCGGAAAAAAACCCAAAAAGGCTTCAGGAAAAGAATGGGGAAAAAACTTTCTGGGCCTTCACATCTCTAGGCCTGGGGGCCAGATCAGGCCCCCGGAGGGCTTCTATCAGGCCCGCCGTGGAACTGGCTGTCTTCTGCTTCTTCTTCCAGTTCTGCTGCTGCTGCGTCATTGTAGGTTTGCAGCTTACAGATACACCCCTGAACAGCATACTCAAGATTGCAACAGCACAGACATTTTGATGCAGTAATTCAGAGCAAGAGGTGTCAGTTATCAGGCACGGTTACATAAACAAAACATTGCAAGCGTGCTCATGTTTTAATCATGTTTTTATTTTAAGTAAAAAGAAACCCCTTTGTGTTTGTGTCCCTTATGAAGTTTATATCTCCGCTACCTGGCATTACATCTTACGACACACCCGGCCCGGCCCCACAAGGCCTCATTTAGGTCATATCCGGCCCTCGTAACAAATGAGATCGACACCCCTGATGTAAGTTGTTTTGTGTCCCTGCTGGGGAGAAAGGTGGAAGGTAAATGAAGTAAATGAGACAGCCCATTCCTGGCCCTCCCCCGCGTTTGTACTTTGGGGGGGAAGAAGAGCCCCAATGACAGACCAGCTGACTTTGGAGGGTGTGATCTCCTGATCCAAGCTCCCCAGGCACACTTCCGGGGTTTCCCTGGTTTGCGAGCTCCTGGTTTACGGCAGGTGTCGCCAGAAGGTCTCTCGGGCTGTCCCTGCTCATGTCCGGCCGTTGACCAGCGTTGCGTTTCTGTCTTCCAGGCAGCGGCTCCAACCCTTTCCAGCATTTGGAGAAGAGCGCGATCCTCCAGGAGGTACGGCCAGCACTTCGATGACACTAGAGGAGGAGGGAAGGGTTTATCGTTGGTGGTGGGCGATGGTGGCTGGCTGCCGAGAGCCACCGGCCCCACAGGCCACGTGGGACCCGCCAAGCCCATGCCCTTTTTTTTCCTGAGTTTCCAGTCTGCCAGCTCTGCATCGGATGCCGGAGAGTTGCTTTTGGGGGCTTAGAATCGTAGAATGTTAGAGTTGGAAGGGACCTTGCAGGTCGTCTAGTCCAACCCCCTGCACGCTGCAGGAGCACAGCCGAAAGAGAGCCCTGCAACACACCCGGAAGATGGTCGTCCATCTTGTCGTGAGCTCTGCTCCTTGCAGTCCGAGCCGTGCTCTCCTGGCCTCGAACGAGGCACTTTGTGCTCTGAGGCTGGGCCCGGGAGGCCACCCTGGGCCGGACTGTGTTCAGCCCTTGGACACAGAGGGGAATGGGGAGGCGCAAGGTCAGCCCACGTGGCTGATGGGTAGTACGAAGCCTCTGGGTTGGCCAGGCCTGGCGTCAATGCGAGGAGCTCGGGCCCTCTATGCGTGCCTGACCGACAAAGCGGTGCCTTCATCTGGTTGGACCCCTGGCCAAGGCTCCTGCCAAGCCGCGGAGTCCTGTGAGCAAGAATTCTCCTCTCTGAGCTCCCGGCATTAAAGTTGTGAGCGAGCCATTCGGCTCCTGCATAAATTAGTTTGCTCTGGAGCCAGTTTGGTGTAGTGGTGAAGTGCGCGGACGCTAATCTGGGAGAACTGGGTTTGATTCCCCACTCCTCCACTTGCACCTGGCAGGATGACCTTGGGCAAGCCGTAGTTCTGGCATGGCTGTTCTTGAAAAAAGAGCCGTTTCTGTCAAGAGCTCTCTCAGCCCCACCTACCTCACAGGGTGTCTGTAGTGGGGAGGGGAAGGGGAAGGAGTTTGTAAGCCGCTCTGAGACTCCTCTGGGTAGTGAAGGGCGGGGTATAAATCCAATCACTTCTTCTCTCAAGAGCTGTCCTCAGGAGAGCTCCCCAGCCCCACCTGCCTCCCAGGGTGTCTGTGGTGGGGAGGGGAAGGGAAAGGCGTTTGTAAGCCGCTCTGAGACTCCTTTGGGTAGTGAAGGGCAGGGTATAGATCCAATCACTTCTTCTCTCAAGAGCTGTCCTCAGGAGAGCTCCCCAGCCCCACCTGCCTCCCAGGGTGTCTGTGGTGGGGAGGGGAAGGGAAAGGCGTTTGTAAGCCGCTCTGAGACTCCTTTGGGTAGTGAAGGGCAGGGGCAGAAATCCAGTCTCCTCTTCTTCGTCCTGAGCTGAGACAAAAATCTGTGAGCCGGAGACTAAAAAACTGTGTGCTAGCTCACACTCACCTTAGAGGGAATCCTGCCCCTGGCCCTAGTGACTGACCCTGCGCTGAAAATCCTTCCTCTGGCTCTGAACGGCTGTGGCTATGACCACTTGTGGCCAGGCCTAGTATTCCAGACTTTTAAAAATGAATGGGGGCGTAACGCTGTAACTGGGCATGGTGTTTTAGAGTGATAATTCCTGGGGAGGTCAATACTAAAGGAGGGGGTCCAGTTGCTCTGATAGATAAATATATTTCCTCCTAAACTACTTGGAAGAAGGGTGGGGGAAGCATGATGTATCACATGTGCCCACAGCAGTGCCCTGTGTTCAGAGCTGGAATGGCCCATGAATGAACAAAGAGGGGAGCAGGGGATCCAGTGTGAAAAGCCACACCTGTGGGGGGAAAGGAGAGCTCCCTCTGAGTTTCCTACCGCCTGTCTTCCTGAGCCCTTTTCTCTCTGCCAGGGTCGATCTGCATTGGAGCTGGTAAAAAAATGGTCATAACATAAGAGAAGCCAGTGTTGGATCAGGCCAGTGGCCCTTCCAGTCCAACACTCGGTGTCACACAGTGGCCAAAAAATACCAGGTGATATCAGGAGGTCCAGCAGTGGGGCCAGGATACTAGAAGCCCTCCCAACTGTTGCCTCCACCCCCCCAAGCACCAAGAAGACAGAGCATCCCTTGCCCCAGACTGAGAGTTCCTATCTATACCTTGTGGCTAATAGCCACTCATGGACCTCTGCTCCATATAAGAACATAAGAGAAGCCAACGCTGGATAAGGCCAATGGCCCATCCAGTCCAACACTGTGTGTCACACAGTGGCCAAAAACACCAGGTGGCATCAGGAGGTCCAGCAGTGGGGCCAGGACACTAGAAGCCCTCCCACTGTTGCCCCCCCCCCAAGCACCAAGAATACAGAGCATCCCTTGCCCCAGACTGAGAGTTCCTATCGATACCTTGTGGCTAAGAGCCACGGATGGACCTCTGGAAGGATGTCAGTTTGCTTTTAACATCAGTAAGGTCCGTGTGTGCAAATAGCACACGACTCTCACTGCCAGTGGCTTCCCGTGCAGATAACGGGACAGGCCCGAGCCCGTCTGACTTCAGTGAAGCTCAAGATCTGGTGTTTCTGAGACCATTGACTGGGCCCTTCTAGGGTTGGCAGCTACCGAGAGGTTGGGGTAGTGGAGACGTAACCAAAGCAGCGTCCCGTGATGTCACTTCTGGTATAAACCACAGAGTTTTGGGGGAATCCTAGAGCGTCCTGCGATACAGTGATGCCACGTCGGGTTATGCAACCAGTGGAGGTGTTGCAGGGTAGCATCCCTCCCCTCCCCCGTATTTCCCCCCACTGCCCTATTGATTGGCTGGGGCCAAGGCTGCAGGGAGTGGGAGGTTGCTGGACTGGGCAGCCAGGTCACTGTAGCCCGGTCACACTTCTGTATTTCCTGGGTGAATCAAAGGCAAAGAAAGATAAGCAATTAGTACTGAGGAAACAGTGCTCCCCCTCTCCTTTTGCTTCGAATCATTTGACCACCACTCAAAGAAAGGGTGAGCAGGTGGGGAGGGAATCTTTGAGCCCTTCGTTTCTGTGGACTGGCGGGTAGATGGTAAAATTTCCGGAAATTTTGAAGCTCAGGGGGAAAAAACTTGTTTTTTTTCCAGGAAAACCCCGAAATCTTCGGAAAAATTGGGGGGGGGGGGGAAATGCCACATTAGCACTTCTTTTTTCTTTTCCAGATTGAAAGTCATTCTGTTACTTTAGGAACATAAAATATGACTATGGACATTTGCACTTGGCATGAAATGATCACAACTAGCATATTAAAAATATAGTGCATCCCAACAATTATTGCAAGCAGAATCCCCAGCCACAGTCAAAAACAAAACTGAAACCTTTTTTCTTTTCTTGTGACAACAGCACCTCCTAAAGGAAGACATGCATCTTGTTCTTGCATTGGAGAGTTCAGTTTGTAACCTAGGACTTGCTTGTCCTTAGTGCACAGAAATTAGATCAATCTGATACCATACCTATTTTTTAGAAATGATTTGGAAAATATTTGAACACCTTGTCTTAAAATATTTTATTCATCATGTTAAAATAAAACGTTCCATAATCATTTTTTTTCTTTTTTCAATTTTTCGGAAAAAAGGGGGGGGCCAACGGTTTCCCCCCTGAATTTTTCTGGGTTTTTTTCCGGGCCTTCACCTCTCTACCGTCTGGTGAAAAATCCTCAATTCCTGTCCCTTATTTGTCTCAGAATTTCAATTTTTTCAATACAGGCTCGTATCTTTAATGAGACCCCCATAAACCCAAGAAGATGTCTACATATCCTTACCAAGATACTGTACTTATTGAACCAGGTAAGCGTCCTCTAATACAGTCCCAGTCTGAAGCTGGTAGTGAAGGGAGGGCCGAGTTGGAGGTAGTATGGAATAATGGTCAGACCAGGAGCCTCACATTCTCTCCACTGAACCTACCTTTCCTGGTTGTTGTTAGGGTAAAATCAAGATGGGGGCACTGTGTATGCGGCAGCCAGGATACTCACTGAATAGGGTCTTAGGGAGCATATCACTCCCTGGCGAGTTTGAAACACTTGCTCTTCTCATCTAGTTGAGAGTGTGTTCCCTCTAAGCTCAGCTAGTGTGAGCCAGCTCACAGTTTTTTAGCCTCCAGCTCACACATTTTTGTCTTAGCTCAGGAAGGAGGGCTCCAGAGCACACTAATTTATGCCGTAGCCAAATCGCTTGCTCACAACTTTAATGCCAGTCGCTCACAGAGTAGAATTTTTGCTCCCAGGACTCCGCAGCTTAGAGGGAGTACTGGTTGCGACCAATGTTCCCTCTGAGCTGTGGAGTCTTGTGAGCAAAAATTCTACTGTGTGAGCTACTGGCATTAAAGTTGTGAGCGAGCCATTTGGCTGCTGCATAAATTAGTCTGCTCTGGAGCCATCCTTCCTGAGCTGAGACAAAAATGTGTCAGCCAAAGGCTAAAAAACTGTGAGCTAGCTCACACTAACTCAGCTTAGAGGGAACACTGGTTGCGACTGGTTATTGCTGATCATTGGCAATAAAAGAATTTGGCTGCAGATTCAAGCTTCCTGCATGGACTCACGTTGGCACTCTGATGAAGAATGGAAATGAGAATTATTACCTAGGAGTCTCATCAGGCAACAAATTACATGCAAGTCGCGAGTTGGCGGCATCTTCATCTGTCCTCTGCAGGCGATAGACTTAACTTTTAGAGCTGCTTATCTTTTGTGTTTAGGGACATCAACTTTATGCCTAATGTTGTCTTTCTATGTGGTGGGTGTGTTAGAGATTCCCAGTCATGTTTTATTGAATATCTTTGAAACTTTACTTATAAAAGAACACTATGGCATTGTGTGCTACATAATTATTAGAAAATGACTTTTGGTGATTACAGAACCTATACACAGTGGTTTTGCTAGTGTTTTGGCGATTTAGAAAGGGGCAGTTTGAAGGCGGGAAATGTCATACAGGGGTGTCAAACATATGGCCAGCAGGCTGGAAGCGGCTCGTATCGAGAATTGGTCCTTACCTTTATTGCCAGATGACGGGCAGCTGCGCATTATGTCCCTGTATCCTGTCCGAGTGCTAATGTGTGACGGGAAGCGGGAGGGCGGGCATCAGGGAAGTACTTCAAGGAAATACTGTAAGCGTGTTAATATTTAAAGCACGTTTGTATTTTGAGTAAAAAGTAATATCATTAATCGGGGTTTGCCTGTATTCTTTACAAAGTTTACATCTCTGGTACTGGCTTTACATTTTATGAGAGAGAGCCAGTTTGTTGTAGTGGTTAAGAGTGGCGGACTCTAATCTGGGAGGACCGGGTTTGATTCCCCACTCCTCCACGTGCAGCTGCTGCTGTGACCTTGGGTCAGTCACAAGTCCTCTCAGAGCTGTTTTCTCAAGGGCAGTTCTCGAGAGAGCTCTCTCAGCCCCGCCTACCTCACAGGGTGTCTGTTGTGGGGAGGGGAAGGGAAAGGAGTTTGTGAGCCGTTCTGAGACTCCTTCGGGTAATGAAGGGCCATGGGGTATAAACCCAATCTCTTCTTTCTCTTCTTCTTATGGCACAGATAGCCCGGCCCAACAAAATGACATTTTATGACAGATCAGGTCCTCCTCACCCCTGCGGTCTAGAAGATTTGTGTGTGTTGACAATTCCGAAAGACAGTGTTATTTTTGTGCACGCACCTGTGCATTCTTGGCTGTCAGTCCCTGACCGAGGCTTCCCTCTCTGAGATTTTGAGTGGAGATAAAGGTGGGGGTGGCAGAGAGCCGCTCTCAGGACCCTGCAGGCCTCATGTAAGAGTCAGGAAGCCGTGAGCAGAGGTTTGGTGGCAAAAGACCTCGTCAGCTTGCAGACTTTCTCCCGAATGCACGTTTGTCACGGCTCAGGTGGGGTGTCACCCGACGCTGCCACCACTCTGGTTCCAGGCTCCCTCGAGAAGGCCCAGAGCACCCTCCCAAGACCTTCAGGCCTCCCTTGTTTGGCCGAATAATAGGTGTGAGGACCAGGCAGAGTGAAACAAGGAAAAAGTTTATTTTATCGGAGGTCAAACAACAAGGTGCAGAATAATAACAGTAAGTGCGGTGAAAAGAAAAGGAATCAAATGCCCTAACGCGTTTAAATATATACGGTCCCTAGCTCACTATCTGCAGTGGCCTTAGACTACTCAGTACTCACCCTTCCCTCAGGATGAGGGTCTCTTCCCCGCAGCAGCCTCCCTTCCGGCTCTGCCCTCTGGGGTAGAAGAACAGCTTTACCTGCTGCTCCAGATCTTTTATTCCAAGCCCTCCTCTTTTCCTACTGGTCAATTTTGGCTCCAAAACCTCTTAGGGGCTTCTGGGAGTTGTAGGCCCAGCCTCACCTACTTCTAGCCAGGCTCCCTGGGCCTAGCAGGCCTCTGGCGGCACAGCCCAGATCATGACCACGTTAATGGCTTTGTTCTCTTCAGGGTGAACATTTCGGAACGACCGAAGCCACAGAAGCCTTCTTCGCAATGACCAGGCTATTTCAGTCCAACGATGTAAGTTTCTAGTCCTTAAGGGCAGCCGTTTTCCTCTTCCTGCCTCTCGGGATGCACGGAGATCCCTTCTGCAGGGGGGAAGCGTTTCTTGTAAGAGCTTCCTGGGGGTGGGGTGGCGGTGCATAAGGATATGCTTCAGGCCAACAGTTCAAACCGACATAATAATACCCTCTTGTTCCGGAGGGATGGGTCTGTTCAGGGCTTTTTTTGTAGAAAAAGCCCAGCAGGAACTCATTAGCATAATAGGCCACACCCAACAGCAGAAACTCATTAGCATATTAGGCCACACCCTTGACATCACAACTCATTTGCATATTAGGCCGCACCCCCGTGTTACCAGAAGTGTGGTCATCCAGCCACACCCACCTTTTGCTTCTTATTCTGTTTACCTTGTTTGTTGTCAAAACCCAGGGCCTTTTTTTGTAGTAGGGACTCCTTTGTCTGTTATGCCACCCCACCCCCCTAACGTAGCCAATCCTAATGAGTTTCTGCTGCTGGGTGTGGCCTGTTATGCTAATGAGATCCTGCTGGGCGTGGCCAACTTGGGAGCCAGCCGGAACTTCGCTCCTGTACGTTTCTGCCCAGAAATAGCCCTGGGTCTGTTATGCCTTCTCTGTTACCCTATGACACTCCTGCCATTCCGATGTAGATACACAGTCTGTTTCTGACTGTTATTTATTTTATTTGACTTACATCCCACTCTCCCCGCATGGCAGGCTCGGCGGGTTACATCAAAATTTGATTAAAAAATACAATGTACGCAATTAATACAGTTGTTTCTCTGGTGGTTGTTTAGAGGCTTCCTCAAGCGTTGTTTAAATAGAAAGGCAGGAGAGGCAGCATGGTGCGGTGGCTAAAGTGTCAGATTAGGATCCAGGAAATCCAGGTTTGAACCCCCACTCGTGCCATGGAAGCTCGCTGGGTGGCCTTGGGCCAGTCCCAAGCTCTCAGACTAGCCCACCTCGCAGGGTTGTTGTGAGGATAACATGGCGGCAAGGAGAACGACGTAAGCTGCTCAGGGTCCCCATTGGGGAGAAAGACGGGACAGGAATGAAGTAATTAAATAAATCAGGGTAGCAACTCCCTCAGTAAACTTGACCATGTCTCGTTTCAAGCCCCAAACAGAGAACATTAATTCCCTCTTCGCGTCTTTGGTGCTGGCACTAAGTGACGGTCTTGTTTAACTTTTTTTGGGGGGTGGCGTTTTGGTATACTCTTCCTCTTCTTGTAAACCCTACAGCAAACCCTAAGGAGAATGTGTTACCTGACTATCAAAGAGATGGCCAACATTTCGGAGGACGTTATCATTGTCACCAGCAGGTACTGGTTCTTTTTTTTCTTTTTTCAATTCCCTTTATTTGACATTTGGTGGCCGTTCCTTGCGGCATTTGGTCAGGCGTGGAGAGATCCGGCTTTGATCAGGATGACCTTAGAATTCCCACTTATTATTTGTTTTTGTTATTTATAATCCGCTTTTCTCGCAGGGACTCAAGATGGAGTACACAGAGTGAATCAGTACAGTCAACAAGATGGGAACATTCAGTAGCCAAATGCATTAGGATTTTAGAAGTCTGGAGCCCCCAGAAAGAGCTGAAGCGTAGCAGAAGTACTCACATGACACACTAAGTGATATAGAAATTACATAATAGGATCCTAGAGAACCAGGTTTGATTCCCCACTCCTCCTCATGCAGGTGCTGGTGTAGCCTTGGGTCAGTCACAAGTTCTCTCAGAGCTGTTCTCTCAGGAGCAGTCCTCGAGAGAGCTCTCTCAGCCCCACCTAGCTCACAAGGTGTTGTGGGGAGGGGAAGGGAAAGGAGAATGTAAGCCGCTCTGAGACTCCTTCGAGTAGTAAAGGGCGGGGTATAAATCCAATCTCTTCTTCTTCTGCATCAGTGGAATCAGCTGCCTGGGGAGGTGGTGAGCTCCCCCTCCCTGGCAGTCTTTAAGCAGTGGCTGGACAAACCCTTGTCAGGGATGCTCTAGGCTGACCCTGCACTGAGCAGGAGGCTGGACTAGGTGGCCTGTGTGACCCCTTCCGACTCTGTGATTTTGTGATTCTATAAGGATCTGATTCAGTATCCGGCAGCATCATGTGTAGATGTGTTCAAACACTCCGTGAATTCCTCTTGATTCACGGAGCCCTGTTCGGTGTAGTGGTTAGAAGCGTGGACTCTAAAACTGGGAAAACCGGGTTTGAGTCCCCACTCCTCCACTTGCACCTGGCTGCACATTTAACTACGACACCAAACTGGCTCTCAAATTTTGCTCATTGTTACTTGCTCTGTGTCCCGTGGAAGGCTTTCTGTTCACCAGCGCTCGCCTTTAACTCTTCTAGCTTGACCAAAGACATGACGGGGAAAGAAGACGTCTACCGAGGCCCAGCCATTCGAGCCCTGTGCAGGATCACAGATGTAAGTAGAGGAACTTCCTGTCAGAAAGTTTGCTGCCTCTGAGCCGTGGTGCTGGCCAACACGTCTCCTGGTGCCCGCCGAGTGCTTTCAGGAAGTGGGCAGAACTGGGTGAGGCTTTTGCCCAGCGGGCCTTCTGATTGGCCATGCACATTAAAACTCACCCTGTTAAACAGAGTTTCTGCCTGAAATGTTGAAACACTACTGTTGGAGTTCGAACATAAGAGAAGGCAGTGTTGGATCAGGCCAATGGCCCATCCAGTCCAACACTCTGTGTCACACAGTGGCCAAAAACACCAGGGGCCATCAGGAGGTCCAGCAGTGGGGCCAGGACACTAGAAGCCCTCCCACTGTTGCCCCCCCTCCAAGCACCAGGAATACAGAGCATCCCTTGCCCCAGACCGAGAGTTCCTATCTACACCTTGTGGCTAATAGCCACTGAGGGACCTCTGCTCCATATGTCCATCCAGTCCCCTCTTAAGAACATAAGAGAAGCCAGTGTTGGATCAGGCCAATGGCCTTCCAGTCCAACACTCTGTGTCACACAGTGGCCAAAAATACCAGGGGCCATCAGGAGGTCCACCAGCGGGGTCCAGGACACTAGAAGCCCCTCCCACTGTTGCCCCCCCCCCAAGCACCAAGAAGACAGAGCATCCCTTGCCCCAAACTGAGAGTCCCTATCTATACCTTGTGGCTAATAGCCACTGATGGACCTCTGCTCCATATGCTTATCTAGTTCCCTCTTGAAGCCGTCCATGCTTGTAGCCGCCACCACCTGTGGCAGTGAATTCCATGTCTTAATCACTCTTTGGGTGATTAACTCTCCGACATTTTTTGGTTGGCTTTCAACTCCTGTGGCAGCCATTCTTTGGCTGTGCCCACCCTCCCGTCTCAGAATTTGAAAGGTCCCAGCAGGCTCAAAAGGGTTGGGGACCCCGGGCCTAGATTCTGTCCTGAGATTTTGCCTGTGACATTTGGGTTATTCTCTGGCAGACCGATTATCCGAAAGACCCGTGCTCTTTGTCTTCCTCTGTGGTTTTCAGGGCACGATGCTGCAAGCCATCGAGAGGTACATGAAGCAAGCCATTGTCGACAAAGTCCCCAGTGTGTCCAGCTCAGCGCTGGTGTCATCTTTGGTAAGCGAAGGGGCAGGGGAGGCCAGCTGCCGTGTGCCGCCGTCTCGTTCCCGTGCGTCCCGTCTCCCTTGGCGTTGTAGGACCACCTTGTGAAGCGGTTCCTTAAAAGCACATTCCTGTTTCATAAGGCCCAGTGCCTTTGCCGTTTGTCCCACTGGCAGCACAAACGCTTCTTGGTGCAGAACCCGAAGCACAGGGCCACAGTGTCGTCAACGAAATGGATGCCGATGGGCTCTTAAGCCTGGCTCGATGTCAGGTAGCCCTGTCATGGATCTGGAGGGGTGCTTTCCTCCCCCTCCTCGTTCTCAGCTCTTCCCTGTCCAGCTACTGTGCACTATCTCAAGCTTGACCTTTTAGTCTCCAGCTGCATCTACTCCCTTCTGTCTAGCCCCCTCTTCCAGCCTCCTTCATCCTCTAGACCAGAGGTGTCAGACTCATTTGTCACAAGGGCAAGACCTGACATAAATGTCCCTTTGTCGGGCCGGGCCGTGTATGCCATAAAACGTAATGCCAGGTACCGGAGATGGAAACTGTATAAAGGACAGCAGCTGGTAAGCTCCGAGTTGGTGTGTTCTCACTGCAAGGCCCCCTGGGGTAGGGCGGGGGGTGTAAAGCAAAGCCCACAGAGGTGGACCAGAGAGGCAGCAGTGCAATGCTGGGCAGATGCTCCCAGGACGCTTGACTGCTGCCGGCGAGGTTGTTCTGCCATGCTAAAGCCATAATGGAGTGGCTCCGCCCACTCCCCTCCAGCACTCGCTCCCTTGCATCAGTTGCTCACGGGCCACACAAGGGCCCTGGACGGGCCGGATCTGGCCCCTGGGCCTTACGTCTGACACCCCTGCTCTAGACTTCTTGGCCGTGTAATGATTCCTTGTTTTATGAGAGTGCGTGTGCCTTTAAATGCTTGGTTGGAGTGCATGGTTAGTAGACTAGAGTGATTGAGAGAGACAAATGTGCTGTGATTGGTGGATGACAGAGTGTGGGAGGGGTTTTTGAAGTGAATCTGTGTGGG